CAAAGAAAACCTTTATGATACTATGGGGAGGGGGGAGGATAACGACGGTGTGAAAAGAAAAAAAAAAGGGGGGGGGAAGAGGGGAGGAAGAGGGGGGGAAGAGGTGGGGCTTTGGACCCCGACTTTTTGGCGTTGTAATCACTCGGGTATGAGTGCAATCCACGCGGTTCGTTTCGGCCGGTGCATGGCGACCGAAACCGTATCATATCATACCGGGCACGGTTATTGTGCCTGGCACCTATCATACTGTACGAGTACTAGCACTTAGCGGATCTACCTATCGTAGTGTTAATACCGGTGATATAGGGCTCCGCACACAAACTCCATCAGGAAATCACAAAACGAGTGACTATCCATGACTAAAATTCTACCAATGCAGCCCTTTTTCTCATCGGGTCACCTCCACCCCCCAGGTCTTAGCGGATACAGGACCCCCAAATTCAGCGTCATTACTCATCACACCATGAGCACCGTCCGCCAACGCTTTCCCGCTAGGTCGATTGACGAGTGACATGTCATGATCGTTGAGTAACAGCCCGAGAGGGGCCCCCCCTCACCTCACTTCCCCCCACGCGTCCAAGTGCTTGAAACTGCCCCCACGGAGGGGCTGGAAACTCACAAGATCAGCTTCGATCGCCTACCGTATCATGCCGGCGGCTCTTTCGAGGGTGCGCTTCGGATCCCCATCCGGTCAAGCCACATGCCCAATCATGGTGGCTGAAACAACAGCTGCTTCATACCTCACGGTAGATAAGTTAGATTTTATACCATGATCAGCACCACCGCTCATCCGTTCATCCGGTCCGGTCGATTTCTTTGATAATCGTAATCCGGGTTTGGAGGAGGGTGGGGGGGGGGGGCTTTGCGGTCGCATTCTAAACTAATGATTACACTCTACACTGGTTTTCGAATCGGAGCGCTGGGTGAGAAGTACGATACCGTGGGTTATTGGGTGACACGATAGAAGACCAACCCACATGGGGTCTGGGTTGGGGCTGGCCCCTTCTGTGGGCGTTAACTTGAAGTTAGATTACCATACTGGATGAGAGTACAGTACGTGGTTCTTGTTTGAACAACCATCCGCCTCTCCCCATCACTAGTTATATTTTGCACCTTCATTGACGTGACCAGCCCTAAGATACCGTTTTCAGTGTCCTGAAAGATAAGCAAACTGAGGAATGGGTGAGAGTGCGCCTTCAAGAAGCTCCGGCATGAGGCTAGATTGGCACCGCTTTTTTCCTGATTCAACGCGGTGATGAGGAGGAGTTAGCTGTTGGAAACCCCGCACCGGCAAGTCGATCGGCGCGCGTCCTGACCCTTTTCCGCCTGTCAAGGGTTAAGAACCAATTTATCAGATAAGCTGTCTGTGGTTACCGGTATGAATTTTTTGGGTCCCAATAGACATGCTGTATCCTGTCACTGGTTACCCCTCCATCGTCAGATGTCTCCACAGGTGGTGAGTGGTGGAAAGACCGTCCCCACCTGGAGAAATACTGTGATAAGATTTAGGCAAATATTCATATCGCGTCAATGCGGCGGGAGCGTGTGGTTAGCTCAAGTTTCTGTTCGTGTTTGCAGTATGGAAGGAAATGAGCATTAAACATTGTGGCCTTTGCGCCAGGCCCCAAGCCGGGAAAGGGAGAGAGGGGAAAAAAGAAAAAAAAAGTATCCGATTCTATAGAAGCCTTCTCGGAATGTATATTTGGGCATTACCGGTATGCCATTTAGGCTTCCCGTTTTTTGCAACATTGAAAATTCCTCTAGTCCGTATAAATTATACCCAAACGAAAGCAATAAGAAAATATAGAGATCTCGCAGCTCGGAAAAAAAATCATCGCAAGTCATAAATCAACAAGTGCCAAACGTGCAGATTCCGTTGCCCGACAATTTTGCACTAGTTCTCACATTACAACTTACTGGGATTTCGTCTCTGGAGTGGGCTCAGGGTTCGGTGACGCAGAGGGCTCGTTCTCTTTCTGGGTTTCTCCTTTGACAGTGAAGGTATCGGGCCACAGGTGCATCTTGTCCTCTTTTGTGGCATTTCGTACAAACCGAGGAACCTAGATTCGTGCGTTAGAACTTGGGACGGGGGAGACCTTTTCGGGATGGTTTAAGGTAAAGAGGCATGGTATAGCAGTAGGATACATACTGTTTTCTGCTTGACGGCCTTTCTCCAGAAGTTTGCGCGGGGCTATAGTAGGAGATAAATTAGCATCAAGTGATCTTCGGATATCCGATAATTAAACATACGTTGTAAACAACTGGCTTTCCATATCCCTTAGTCTTGTTCTGATCCTCCTTTGTTATCTTGATGATTTCCTTCTTGATGTCGGCGAAGGTATCGAATGGGATATAGGGGATTTTATTTTCCTTGCAGTACTCTTCAAGCCTTAATCCAGCCCTGGCGAAGAGGACATCAGCCTCACGGGCAGCTGCGAGGTCTGAAACGCCGTCTCCCACGAAGAGAATCAATGGGCATGTACCGTCCTCGCTCTCGGAGGAGGCGATTGTGCGGTATTCTTGAATCGAAGCAGCTTTGTCATGACCTAGAGGGGTGTCGTGGCGCCACACCGGCTTCCATTGTTTGCCATCAGGGGTGATTGTGGCATCGTTGGCAATAATGTCAATGAATTTCGACTGGAAATCCAGTGCTGGGTTAGCCTGAGACATCTAGTATTGCTTTTTCCAACCAACCAACGATTGGGCGTTCTGACCTGCTTCTTTCCCAAGAATTCGTCCAAAACGCGGCGGAGAATTGGCTTCAGACCGGCGGAGATAACGTTGAAAGGGATGTTATTCTTGATACAAAAGTCGTGAAAGTCATGGAAGGCAGGGTCGATCTCGAGCGAGGTTTTCATGATCTCAAATCCATCATCGAAGGGGACATTCAAGCTTCCCCACATCTCTTCCGAAACATCGCGGAAGGATCTTACACCGTTCTTAATCTCCTCGTCAAGCTCATGTCTCCGTTTGGGACCGCATCCGTGGGCGTCGAACAAGATATGACCGGTATCTTGCATGAAAATGGTTCCGTCGAAATCTGGCTTTTTCTTAATATAGGATCCCACGATGCAACAGTAAACTGGCACTTTATGTCTAGAACCCACCTGAGAAGATAATGATGTCTCGCTTCGGCCCAAGAACGTCATCAGAGTTGGCAGTGCTATCGAGGCTCTTCACCGGTACTCTGAGATCCTGAACCTTGATTTCGCCAGTGTGAAGTTTGGCCTTCTCGAGTTCGGGGGCATTGAAGGGCTGGGTATTCACTGCCGCTGGGGCCATGGTTGCGGATTAGGGGGATAGAGAAGGGGGGGAGGCGAGGGGTATAAAAGAGCTATGGATGTTGAAGCGAGAGGTGGAAGGAAATAGTCGTAAGAGTTAGGTAGTGGTTGAAGGTGAGTTAACGAAAAGCAATTGATGAAGCTTCGTATGGCACGAGCTGAAGGGTATCCCTAGGTATGAGATTGGAAGAAATGGAGGGCCGGAAGGCTTTATAAAGCTCGCAATCCTGAAAAGCCCTGGCGATTCTAGGTGAATAGTGGAGGAGTAGATTTTTCAATGGGCCCAGGCACCCCTCCTCCTGAATCGGTAAAGTTTCAATCCCGGATGGTAGAAGGGGGGTGCCAGCCAGCGAGCCAGGGGGCCAACTGATCCTCGCGGATGATAGCTGCTAGATGCAGACGCAGACCAGTGAGAGTATGCGGAATGCATAAATCTGAAGACACGGCCTAATCATTCTGGCGAAAGCAAGTGAGATTAATTAAGCCAGTGAGGGATGCAACATGATGATATAGTCTTTTCTTTTCTTTTTTTTTTTCTTTTTTTTTTCTCAGAAAGCTCCTTTTAGTCCTAGGCGTCAGATTGGCCAATTAGAATAAAGAGATATCCCCCGGAGAGTGCTGGCCAGGCATCAGAAACGATTGATACCAAATCCCAATAGACCACGACAACGCTTAAATCGGCCTAGATCCCAGTAAAGTCTCATCGTCAAATGATATATTCTGTCCGGTATCTCTTCGAGTGGAAAGAAAATATTTCACGATGCACAGGGCAATACTGCCTATCATTCCATCCTCCTTGCCGTTTCCCAGTCTGAAATTCCCCTGTAGATATGGCTGAGAGGGGTGCTTGCAGATAGCGAACTCCCTCCCATGTTGCACTACGCTCTCTCCCGCAACCTACTGTGGCTTGCTGCATGATCACAAACGTTTCCTCTCTTATATCGCACCGGTGCTACTGGTCATGATGGTAGTCGGTCGAGCATTGCTGACTAGAACCTGCCTACCTGCAGATCGATAATCTATGTACTGCGAGAAATCGCTCGTCAATTCAGCTGCGTATGGAACAGGTTTCCTTCAAAGTATCGCAGTGCATGGAGGCTACGCGGGACGATAACCGAGCGAATCCCGTCCTCCAATTTAGCACATAGTTCCCTTAGAGAATCAATTCGAAGGGAAACAAAGATAATAATTATTAATGAGAGGTTCACCCTGCAGGAAGACCAGATCAATTCCGGCTCCGGAAAAACCCTGTAGGATAGCGAAGTTGTTCCTGGTGAACGGCCAGACAGCCGGCAATTGTTGGCGAGCGGAGGCACATAGATTATCCGTTTTACTCCACTCCAGGTCCTTCGCAGCGGAACGGGCAGGGCGGAGGCACATTCTTTGGTTGATCAGCCGCGATGAGTCATCGTGAAAACATGTTATTGGGCAGAATGATCTCTTCCTTGTCACAGAAAGGAAAAAGAAAGGTGAGAGAACTCGTACCGGTACTGGCACCCTAGGGAGGCTGTGTCAGATGTAGAGGATTCCTTCTTTACAACCGATATCTTACGCTTTCGAACGCCTCTAGGTAAGGACTGGATGGTTAAAATCGCTCAAAACAAATTCCAGAGTTTTTTTCTTCTTTTTCTTCTTTTGATGGCTCCCCCCAGATATGGTAGTGTACCGCACAGTACCGTGACGTGTGGCTTGGTGATGGTGATGGTTTTGATTGCAGGAAATGATCGCAAAGGGCGCGAACTTGAGAGGTTTTTCTCCTGGGTAAATTATTGGTTTCTTAGAGATTATCTGCCACCGCCCGAGGACACAGGGTGGCTTGAAGACAGCGACGTACTGTGGTTGAAGTAGTACTCGCTTCTCAGAAACCTTATCATATTCAAACGGTGCTCTATGTCTTTGATCCTGGTGAATCGGGGGGGTCGTCAATGGGATCCAGACCGATGTCAGTGACGTCGAACCACCCGAAAACGAACCACATCCCATGCTCTTGGAGGAAAAGGCTTGATGAAAAGGCTTTGGCAGCTGGGGTACCGGTACTGTACAGTAGAACAAATTGCTCATTAAAGCTCCGAACCCCGATAGCATGGAAATGTGCGCAACGTACAGTACTTGTACGGCAGCATGATGCAAAGAATTTTTGTGCTGGTAGGACGGCATTCTGTGACAATTGTGTTCATCGCCATTTGGAATCTTTGGCATATCCTCGTGTATAAGTGCTCATGTTTCCGGGTTGAGGTTGCGCCTCTTCTGGCTGGTTACTGCTATCATAGAAAAAACGGTAAAAGTCTTCAATGCCACAACCCGGCGTGAAAATATCTACAATGCCACAACATGTTAGACTAGTACCGGTAATGAAAAATTTTCACCATGACACAACTCATCACTTTCTTTCCTTCCTGAGTTTTTGTGGATGTTTTCCTCCCCTGATCCTATGGTGGTGGCCTTATCTGATCTCCATCCAGCTCTGGCCTTGGGGCAACATTTCTCTTCCTTCAGTGGAGTCACAGGGGTTTTGCATGACTGGTCTATTGGGGAAAAGTTCAGCTACCAAGTTTCCAAGTGAGATTCAACATGAGGGGTCTATGTCTGCAAGGTTTCAAACTGCCCATGGATAGACAGCCTGTGTTTAGGGGTGTGTGTACTTATGTAAACAGTTGTAGGGGGGGACATAAAAATTAGTGACCAAACTAGTCTATGAGTAAGGTATTATGGTATTGTAGATATTTTCATGCCAAGGTTGCGGCATTGAAGACTTTTACTGTAGAAAAAAAAAGCGGCTTCGGTCCGGCTACATATGGTATGTACACGAGGTATCATACCTAAGTACAGGGGAGGGCTTGAGAGTACCGGGATCATACAGTACAATTACATTTTATTCCATTTCACAATATGGTTGTTCCACTGAGTAGCAGAAGCATCGAATTGATGAGACGGTTACCGTAGATGTTATTTCTCTCCATGCAGTGTGGTGTTAGGGCACTTGGAATTATATACATACCTTCCGGCCGCGTGGGCGACCGGCATAGCATCATGTTTCTTCAATGCTCGATTTCTGCTTGACTGTTTTTCCCTTGTACCCCTCAATTTCTCATTTTTTTCCCGTCCCTTCCAATTATGAACAAGGGTACCAGTACTTACAGGGACAATATTTGCTTGCACGGGAAGAGCTGAGCACAGGAGTACCGGTACCTGTGCCATACACCGACATCTAAGTGCTCGAGCGGGATGAGAATACGGGTGTTACAGACAAAAGGCTCCGTCCTTTTAAAACACCGGGGTGTAATGATAGTTTCCGGTTGACGGTGGACTGGATCATTAATCTCGTATTGTTCCCGTTCTATCCATCTACTAAAATAGGGCGAAGCAGAAAGAAACAAGGCCGCCCCGGAAAACAGTGGGGCATTTGATTATGATATTTTGAGATAATTTTTTAAAAGATCAAACACCGCCTCAAGCTCCTACCTTGGCCGTATACTTTGCCGCAGCCTTATCAAACAATTCGCTCTTCTGAGCGACATTGGTTAGGAAGGGATGGCTTGGCGCCGAATTTTGCAATGAGCTGAATGATAAGCGAATCAGCAACCATTGGTACTAGCCCGACGGCATTCCCGAAATACTACCAATTTTGACAAATTTGGGCTAGAGATCAAAGGGGCGGGATATGGCAGAGAGCTTACCTGAGGTATTCATCAAATTCTTTGCCCGCGAGGATTGAGAGGATGATCATGTTTGCAAGGGCATCTTCATGTTTCGGATCCTTTTCGAGAGCTTGCTGCAAAGCAACTTCCGCCTCTGGTAATCTCCCAAGATGGAGTTCAGCAACAGCCTGGCCGATCAGGGCACGCGGGGTAGAGGTGGAAGGAGTTTGAGCTAGCTCTTCATAGACATAATATGCCTGCTGGTATCTTTCGCCACCCTGAAACCCGAGAGTTACCTGTCAGCCGTCATCTTATCCTAACATGTACGGATACATTTGAAGAGCTCAACATGGAGGTTCACGCGCGAGTGAGACAATGAGCAAATTATATAACACTCCCTCAAAACTGAAGAGCAGAGGGGATAGAGAGAAGGGTTGTGGTTTCACCGCCTAGAAATAGACTTACAATACGTAGGCCAACCCACGATTCAGCAAGGTTAACCAACAAACTGTCTTGAGCCCATCGTTTGGCATTCAGCACTTCCTTAAGCGCAAGGTCTGTCCGGTTTTGCGACAGATGAATTTGCACAACTAGGGCTACACTATAAGGTGAAATATAATCAGCAAAGAGAGGGTATAAAGTAAAATATCATCAGATCAGATGAATACGCACGCTTCTAAGCTCCCCTGGTGTTTACTAAGTAGAGCGAGAGCCTCTTCACTTCTACCCTGCACGTGCAATACCGTAGCTCCGATAATTTGGACAGTAGCATTATCTGAAGACGCTTCCACAAGCGATTCAACCGTTTTCATAGCGTCCACCGTATTACCCTGGCTGTATTCCGCAAATGCCTTCAGAACAGCTAGGTCCGGGCTATCCTCTCCCTCGAGCTCAGCTGCTACTCCTTCTGCCTGACCACTAGCGATCTGAGAACGTAGCTTGTAAACCCTTGATGGGATCCTGTTTTCTGCCGACAAACCTGAGGTATCGTGGTTAATTATGGCCGAATATTGTCCTCCATGGAAGGCGTTGTGGATGGTCAGAAGCTCTAGAATTTGTTGGTGTTAGCGGAGCGCAATTAAACTTGAGTATGTTCTATAGCGTACCCCCTTCGGATGAGAATGGATCCATTGTGAACTTATCGTTGTTTGGGAATAACGATGTTATGGAAGCTTGTGGTCGTCTATGGGAATGAGAAATAGGGAACTTTAATTATCCGAGTGTAATAGGGTTATGAACAGGGCGTGTTCTTTTCGGTGGGGATTTGGGTAAATGCGACAAATCTATGGATTTTCATAAAAAGCGTCTTAAATTCAAGGGAATGAATTTAAATCTTAAGAAAACGATACATGGAGCAAAAGTTGAACATATTATTTTATGCTGCTGTATTCCATTCTATGCAGGCCAGCTGGGTTGGCTCTGCTTGGGTAAGCACTTGACGACATCTCAAAAATGGACAACCTATCGCGTAAGTCGCGACCTCGCACTCAAGTTCTCATCCTAACAACCTTTCTTCAAACACTCAAGCAGTGATCGACCCAACCTCCACACAGCGGAAGAAGCTGTGAACTAGAAGTTAAAGCGCTATCTACGCCCCGTGGATGTTTACCGTCGACGGAAGCGAAAGGAAACGCAAGCCATCCGACCTTAACCTCGAGAGCTCACCACCGTCAAAGCACGTTAAAACCGAAGGCGGAACAATGTCTGCCGGCTCTCCAAGCGGTCTGTTGCCCCGCCAAGCGCTGCAGCAACTTGTTAGTCTGCAGCCATCTATGGGCGATGAACAAAAGACGAAGTATATGAATGCGCTTGATCAGTTGAGGGGCATTGTGGAGAAAAGCGGACCTAGTACCTCCGAAGGTCAGCAAGCGCAGACTAGATATGACCAGATCGTCAATCGCCTTAAGGTGTCACTACGGCAGCAGCAGGCACAGCAGAAACAGCGCGAGGCACAGCAACAGCAGCAAGTTCAACAACAGCAATTACAACAGCAGCAGTTACAACAGCAGCAATTACAACAGCAACAGCAGAACTATAGCGCACCAGCTGGAGGTTCTTTGGCAAGTGTTGCAGGTGGCAATGGAACGACAATCGGCGGGGGAACGAGTGTCGGAAGTGCCGTTGGTGCTGGGCCCGCTGCCGCTGGGGCTCCGGTGGCGCCGTCGATATCCCAAAGGCAATCGTGGATAGTTCCTCCGGGGATTCCCCAGCAAAAGGCGGATGCTTGGCGGGCAGAAATTGCCGGCAAGCTATCGCAGGTTGGACAAAAAATGAGTCATTCAAAGGCCCAAATTACTGTTCTACACCAAAGCCTCCAGCGACCAAACCTTACGTCCGAAGAGCAGGCAGGAATTCAAAAGAAGATTGCCGAAGTGACCCAAAGTTTCAATGGATGTAGAGAATTTCTCAATAAATTCACCACCCAACAGAAGCTGCTCCAACAACAGAACCAGATGAGAGTTAGCCAGCAGCAACAGGGCCAAGTTTCGATGGCTGGGAGTGGGCAAATGCAGAAACCCGCCCCTCAAAGCATGGTTCCGGAGATACAGCAAGGGCAACAGGGAACGATGAACATTGGAGCTCCGCAGCAACAAACAAATTCTGGTAATATCCAGGGGAACCCACCGAATCTACACCCGCCGCCTGCCCAACAGCCAAACCAAATGCAGCAACATACGCAACAGCACGCGCAACAGCAGCAACATCAGAGTACCCCCGCGCAAAGAATTGCAACTCCTATACAACGAGCAGATTCACCTCCGGGCCCTAGTAATAATGTCACTGGAATAAACCAGAATCGTGTTTCTGCTGGTCGACAAACAATGTCTCCTGCAGCTCAACAACCCCCAATGCAACAACAGCCACAGCAAACGATAGGTCAAGCCTCAACAGTCCAACAGCAACCCGCTACACAGCAGGCTACACAGCAGGCCACACAGCAAGCGTCTGCCGCAGCCCAACGTGGCCTCCAACAAGCTCAGCAACCCGGAGCTGCTGCGGGGCGGTCCCCAGCGCCCGGGCCAGCTGGCCCACCCGGGACCCCGATAGCCCAGCCTAACTCGCCCGCCCCTCGCCCCGGCTCTGTGCAACCGGCAGCCCGTCCACCCACGGCCACGGGAACACCTGTCACTCAACAGCAGCCACAGACACCGCAAGTACAGCAAGCACAGCAACCGCCGCGCATCCAACCAGCGTCGTCCGCGTCAGCTGCATCCCCTACGACTAGCGTTCACCCAGCTCATACTGCCCGTGATACTCCTCAGGAAAACCGCCCTCCCATTCCTAAAAACCTTGCTCTCGCTGCTCCGCAACCTATCGCCATTCCCGCCGCTAGGCCAACCTTAAGTGGTGGTATGAATAGCTCCGGCAATCAGATGATGAGTACTCCCGCTATTACCAAGCAGCCCGCATTTGAATTTGATGAGGGAGGCATGGGCTTGTTGAGTAAGAGAAAGTTGGAAGAACTTGTGAAGCAGATCGATCCGGAGGAGAGATTGGATCCCGATGTTGAAGAGGTACGTTATCTCTAAATTAATCTCACCTTGTAAAGTTTTTCTATGCGCTTCGGGATTTGGCATTTCAGAGATTCCCGCACGGCGCTCAATATGTACTTCGCTGTACCATGTGCTACAGACTCCCTATAAATCACTTCCCCAGCTTGTCGCATTAGCCCACGGGGCCTCGTTGTCATTTACCAACCTCCGTACTAACTAAATTGACTTAGGCCGTTCTTGAACTCGTCGACGAGTTCATCGATTCGATTGCTACCTCAGCCTGCAAAATGGCTAAACTCCGCGGTTCCGACACTCTGGATCTTAAGGACGTCCAAATAATTCTTGAGCGCAACTGGAATATTCGCATTCCCGGCTACGCGGCCGACGAAATCCGTACTGTCCGGAAATTCCATCCAGCCCCTGGGTACCACCACAAGATGGCCGCACTAGCTGCCCAGAAGCAGTTGGCCCAGACTTCCGGAAAAGGTGGAGAATAAAAGGAAGTGGGGTGTTGGAAATCATCACAGCATTTATTGGGTTTCGTTTTTTTTCTTTTTCTCCACATTTCCTCCTAGTTTCTTCCCCCATATCCGAAAATGAGAAACTTTACACCATTTTCCTTTCCCTTTTCTTTTTTATGAGAGCATGTGAAGGTTGTGAGTGAGGATAGATGCGTCTCCCTTTTCGCTAATTATGTATTTTTTTGCGCTTTTTTTTATCAAAAAAAAGAGCAGTCTGAGGAGAAGAGCTTTACCCCTCTCCTTTTCAAAGTCAAAACTTACTTGGTTGGACTTTACTCTACCCCTATCTCTGTTTGTTACTGTTCTGGTGTTGTTCCGGTCGCAAGCTGGGGTTATGCTTCGTTATCCAAATACAGTGTACGGCTTAGGTCTTTTTTCCCTTATCATATTATACTCTTTTCTCTATGTTTGATGTCCTTCTGTTCTATTCGCTCCATACCCATTTTCGGGTTTAGGTTGGGGGTATCCCTTTTTTTCTTCCCTCGTCTTTCGCCCCACCCTCACGATGCACGCTTTCTTTTCATGGATGGTTGTACTGTACTACCGTAGCGCAGTACAATAGTCTAGTGTCTGACGGGACAACGTCGTATCTGCCAGGTAAACTATAATACGGTAGATGTATTAGTAATTATGGTGTGGGACATCTGTAGCCGGAGCAGGCTGACATTCGTCATGGCTTAGTAATAATATGTTAATATGCCCAGCATTGGACTTAATAGAGGTTAATAGATTGACAAAGACCATTAACTGTCTGCGCCAAGGAAATTAACAGTAATTAACGTTCCCCGGACATTCCCCTTCTCTCGCCAAAAATTCACCTAGTTTTAAACCCTGATAACTTCGTGAAAACCCGAGATATCTCTATTCTCTCTCTATTCGTGCGTGGGGGGTCACCCGCTATGCCGTCTAATAGAGGCGTGATTCCCATCGGAGCGGTTGTCGAAGAACCTTTGGGGGCTTGAAGTTGCGCGGTAGTTTCATGGCAAAACCGCTCCGGCCGCAGAAGTCCGCCACCATATATATTCCGGTACACAGGTACCTTCTCTGCGCGAGTTCGTCCGCGAATCGCTGTCGTGGTGTCATGTCCATCATACCGGTGGCATAGCTGCTGTGCTCGCTCGTTCCCGGTGGTGGGTGAACACGTGAAAGGGTCGAGTTACTATTTATTATTTCACCCCGTTCAGTCGTGAAACCGGCGTGTCTGGCGATGTGACCGGGCCAAGACCCAAGTGAAGACAGGTGGTACGGGTATATGGAGGTTGATCGGATACGGTATATGCATTACCGGTACCGATAGTGCATGAGAGGGTGATAGTATTGACGGAGGACGTTGAAACAAGATCTTTCTACGACTCGGGTGGCTCCTGCGCTGAAGGTGCCGCCGTTATTAGCCTACCACGTGAGCGGCTACCATACTCGTAGGGTCGGTGCTCAAGTTACGGTGGGAAGCTCGAGGTTCGACGCAATCTCTAATCTCCCCTCAGCCTCTCTCCCCAATAATACCTGCTTTGAGCGGGTTACCCACGGGCCGCAAGTATACATTTAGATAACTCTGAACACGATACGTAGTGTTGAACTGTCTATATAACTTTTGCTCATGAACAAATGCATGATAGTAGCTGCGTTCTAACCCGCCCACTCAGCGATCCTTTGTGAGAAAGCAATGACACCACGCGATCGCAGGGCTAAATACACGGGCTTTACAGGTGACAAGAGCTCTAATGTAAGAGAAAAACATGCTGCCCTTGAAAACAATCATATCCGTAACAAGCTCGAACCAGCCTTCCCTATACCAAAGAAAAGACCCAGAACCCCGTAGAAAAAAATAAACCCGGTACCACATCGGGCGAGTTGAAAGACCTGCGCCCACTAATGATATGAATACGAAAAGAAATTTTCCTCCAGTAATAACAGCAATGGCTCAACCTGCCTCCCTGCCTAGGAAGGAAGCAGTTCCCTTATTTAGCCACCAGTTTCATCAATATTGCGACCAGCAACGGGTTTCCACCATGCTCTTCAACCGCCTCCAATGCTTTTTTGTGCAAGTCGTGGATAACTTTCTTTGTGTAGTCAAAGGTGCCCGTTTGGTCCCTCATGTAGGCAACAGCGTACGTTTTGACATCCTCATCCGTAGTTCGCTGCCCCAAAATATTCAATAGCTGACGGTTCGATGGATCACTACGAATGGCGTGGATTACGGGGAACGAAAATTTTCCCTCGGTAAGATCTTCGCAGAACCCCTTATTCTTGGTGTACTTTTATCGATAACATCAGCAAATCGCTAGAGCAGTTAGTGGAGTAGGGAATTGGTACCTGGTCTGATTGGAGATTTAGGTAATCATCCAGTATTTGGAAAAGCAGACCAATAATATTGACCAAGGGAACATAATCTTCGTTCGAGGCGCTCTCGGCTTGCATGAGCTTCACAGCCAGACGGAATAGCCCTCCGGTTTCTATTGCAGAATGTTAGTATCATGGCCCGGACCAAGCACAAGAACGGGAGTAAAAGATGTACTAACTATTGCTAACCATCTCCAGATAGTCGTCCTCAGTTGGCGTTGTCAATGTATCTCTCCAGAAGAGGTCCATCCCCTGGCCCCGATGAAGATTCAATAATTCCTCTAGACGAAAAAGCGCATCAGGTCAGCATCAGGTGGATACCATAGGCCTTTGCTGGCTAACCCGTGTAAATCTTGAGCACCAATGGATTATCGAGTTTCAAAAGCTCCTGCAAGGCTTGGAAGTACACGTAGTTCGCGCAGTTTATGGTTTGTGCTACCCCAAATATGCTGTGCGCCACAGGGAAGCCCCTTCGCAGATTAGAATTGTCTTCAACATCGTCGACCCTACCAAGCGTCGTTAAAATATGTTAAGGGCCATTTCAATTTCAGAAGCCCTTACAAGAGTGAGGCATTATGCAGCATAGCTATGACTTTGGTGATTATTTGAAGAGAGGCTTCAGGAACCTGCAACCATCTGTTGAAGGCCGTTATGGACTGCTGGCGGATATCCTTGCCCGGATGGGAGACAAGATATTCGAAAGGTCCAAGTAATAACTATCCGAAAGCCCAACGGGGTGTAATTAGTAGCGGTGCCTAGGGATATCCCCCACGAAGAGAGTTTAGACGAATAAGGTACATTTTCCTTCTCCTCAGACCACTGACGTTGGAATCCAGCAGCCACCAAAACATCAGCACTCCGGGTTTGGGGTGTTCCATTTTGAGCCAGGGCGTCCGAATCCACCCGCTGCTTAAGGGGTTTTGATGGAGGCGATCGATGATGTCGACTAGTGGTGGAAGGTTCTGAGGTCATCAGGGATAGGGAATAGGATTTTCGATGGTGGAGAGGAGTTGTAGGAAGGACAGGAGGGGGGGGAGGTAAAGAGATGGGGGGATGAAGGATAGGAGCTAGCAGTACGGTAGTGATGGGTGGGGGTTGAAAGAGGGGCAGGTGGAGGATGAGGACGCAAGACGGTAAGGCAACACTCGAAAAAATGTATGGAGATGTTGGGCATGCGATCTCGCTGCCGAGGGCGTTTTCGAACCTCTGCAGGGTTCGAGAAGCCTAACGAGGAGACTCTGCGCTCACGCGGCTGCGTCTCCTTTTACATGTGACTGGAGCACGGTAACTGTGGGCCATTACCGTAGCTAACTCGCCACCACTTTGAGGCCCAGACTGCTGCATGCCCACTGAATCACCAGCACAAACACCCGGAAAATCGACCCGTGATAATGTCGATCACCCGCAACCTGCTTTCACCGACTCTCCCGATCAATTTTTCAGGTAGACTATCGCAGTGCTCCAATGTCGCTTTCAAGCAAAATGAGTCCTGACACTACGCTCCACCCCCTAACACACTGGCAGTATCAGTATGATGCGGTGCTCCAACACACACCGTTAGCCCTAGAAGCTCTAGCTACTTGTACCCAGAGTACAGCATGAGTGCCCTCGAGTATACTCGTACTGTAGCACTAGTATGATATGGTAACCATATCAGTGTCCGCCGTGTTCACCGATGAAAGCGCCAAGCCTCAGCCACAAATAGCCAATTCACTCTCCATGCCATGCTGCGCTCGGGCAGAGCAAATCCCCGGTAGACTATCAATGCATTAATGTCCTCCCCAGTCCAGCGGACAAACTGCTTCAAAGTGAATATACCCACGACGAAATATAAATGGCTACAAGGCAGTTTACCGTCAGTAATTCTCATTCACCCGGAGCTCCCATGTCCCGAATCACCTTATTACTGGGAACGAAGCTAAGTTAGGCCACCCAGAATTCCCCCCACTTGGGATTCGGGGGAGAAAAACACTGCGAAAAGGTTATCCTTCGGCCTTCCGTCGAGACAAGTGAAAGTATAGAAAATACAGCAAGCCTTATTAATACTGAGGAGGCACCCTGAAGTCCCCACCACATTTTCAGCTATTCCGACCTTTTATAGCATTTTGACGACCACCTTTTTGTTCCCAGAACCTACAGCAACTTGACGTAGTTGTAAAGCTAGATGATCATCCCACTTTACCGAGTTCGTGCTGTGCTCGAGTATGTGAAATGACACGGTATGATATATAGGAGAAGGCACGAATGAGTGGTTCCTGCTGGCCAGGTTCGAGATCAATCTGCTTACAAGCACCTCATGCTAACGCCCTATAGATGAATGAAAAGAGGTAAATGTTTAGGCAAGGCCATGCTGCATGTTTACGTATGGCCCGCGCCTCCCCACAAGCTCTCGACACTACAGCGAGGGGGGTTTACACCGTTTCCAGTACCCCACGGATCAGAAAAGCTTCCACGATGGTGCGTCCAACGTCCAGATTGGACCAACATCCTATCCTGTCCTCTCCCTCTCCCTCTCCCTCTCCCTCCTCGTGCTCCTCAATTACCCTTTGGCTGGAGAACAACGGCTTCCAAATACCAAGAACAGGCAGCTCATTGTGGCCTAACCACTCGCTATGAGTTCGAAGAGTTCGAAACACGATTTGTCGTATGATTGTCAGGGGTTCCGCTCCCAGGCAAATTGTCAGCGTGGATCAAGCGAGGATAAATGGGCCACCAGCAGAGGATTAGGCGGAAATCGAGGGAATGCCTATAGACCAGTGACCTGTTACCACAGACTGCACCACAAATCCCCCATCTCCACAATCTCACACATACCAATTGATTGCAGCCTCACATTTGTAGATCAGGCACCAAGAATTTATCGGTACCGAAGGCCATACTCTCTTCTGCAACTCCCCTACTATCGAAAATAGTGCCCTGGTGTATATGATTAGTACGCGCTACTCTATGGCAACCTCAAGGCAGCCATGCGCGCTCACACGCAGTGTATGCACAGAACAAACTCTAGGCAGGCCTTCAATTGCTACCGTTTCTACCAGCCAGTGCACACTACACTGCATACTACTGTGCGCACGATCGTCCGTTGTGCCTTTAACCCCTCAGCGCCTAAATTACATCTGTCAAACTCACAAACCACCCAGAAGATCAAGCACGACAGCACGGTTAAAACAGAACAGATCTTCTCTAGACTAACCCTACCATAGCAACAGGGCCCAATGCGATAATTATGGTTTACCATCATCTACGGTTCCGCAACTTGTACTAGAGTCGGGGTGAAATGGGGATGCTAAATTGCCTTGATCCTCCTATCCTGGGAGCCCATAACACAAACATACTGTGGTCGAAGTCCATCGCCTAGTATCTAGTGTACGGAGAGACTATAGAGCACGTTAGGAGATATTAGGTACGCTTCCTAATTGTGAACCTGGATTCATCAAGTAGACACAGGCACAACCGACGAGAGTATTTGCATACCATTTGCAACCTCCATCCCAGGAGCCCAAGGCCAGATCCTACACCTCCAATTGTCCGACCCAAACCACATGATACCAAGTTCATCAGCATGCACATTGACAGCACGAGAGGTAGAGCACAATCTCCCATGCCCACTCATCTGGAACTCGACAAAACAATCTGATTGCAGGGGGTGTAGAAAACTTGAAAAAATGGCCTCCCCGAAACTAGCAGAGGCCAGCTCTTATAACCCAACAAAAATAAAAGGCAACAGCAGCAACAGCAGCGCTGTGATAAAAATATACCGAACTCGGAAAGGTAGAGCGCGAACAAAGAAAGAGCAACTCGACGAAAAGGAAAAACTCCCGAGCCCAGATCCCCTAGCTGTCCCACTGCCTCACCCTCACTCCGTCTGCTTCAGCTCACAGTTGGGGCACACCCTATGCTCGCAATCTAGACAGGCGGGGGTGTTCGCCCGAAGCCAGACACCATTGCGGGGACAAATAGAGTGGACCCCACCGCAGCACACCCAAAACGAATCCTCCTGATTTTGCTGTGGAGGCTGTCCGCCGGGCGGATAGCCAAATCCATCGGTACCAGGAGGCCCACTGGTGGCATTCTCACCCCTAGACTCACTACCATATGAACGTGCTTCAGCGTTGGCCCCGCTCGATGAAGTCTATCTGCTATTAGAAACAGGAAATCAAGAGATCAAAGCACAATAATCTCACTTCACCGGGCTGTCCATCAAGAGCGCAAGAGGGTGTGTCTGATTCCATCTGAGGACCTTGCTCAGTCGGGGAAGACGGAGTATCTACCGGATTGGAAAGCGATCCCTGCCTGGTATTGTTGCTTGGAGATGCCATTCGAACGACTGCCTCGGCGAAGGAATGTGCTCTGTAAGGGAGAGATATTGCTTGAATTGCGACTTTGGAGATATCAACGACTTCTGGGATTGCAAAGAAGCAGTTTAGGGATTTTTTATAACCTTTATAATGCCACTTCCCAAGCCAGGGTAGTAGTTCACATAGCTTGGGACAGCTCCTGAGGAATTCCACGCGCAGCCGATTTTGGGTATATCCCGTCAGCTCATAGACATTAGCCCCATCTCGTTGTCGTCACTAAATTATTATAGCTAACTTTGTGACCCGCCGTCGCCATTGGAGGGGCAAACCGGGGGCGAATCATCAGCTGCGCGTGTCATGTTCCGCACCTCCGTCAACCGCCGGGCGAGGGTCCATCCCTTACAGCGCGCATGTCGTACCTAACTCCATTCTCATCTTTAAATTGATGCCCTACAAAAAGGTCGATTCTCTCTCCGGCAGGGGTGATTACAAGTGTATCAACCTTTTTCACACCCTTGAAGATTACCTTGTAAGATGCTCACGATCATCCTTCGACAATCCACAATACGAAGATCAGACCACTAGCAAGTATACATGTTGACAAACTGTCCTCCCAAGCTTAATTATCATCACCCCTTCTCTAATCTCAGCTCAGGTCCCCAATACTGACGCCATGTCATGCACTATCACTCGCATGACACATTCCGGACTATTGGCAAGAAATCTTCCTCAAAGTGCATTCCCGTACTATAGGTGATAAATAAAGGGGAGTAGGGGATGTACGGAGCGGCTCCTCCGCTTCCATCAAAGCGCCCCCTTCTGTCCTGAAGCTCCGCACTTCACAGTCCGTCAGGTGGCTCGATTATATAAGTTCATACGTGTATGGGGAGGTTGGAATCAACTACTCAATGGCATACGCAAAGCGAAAAGGGAGGGTCGTGTCAACAAGCTAGCTAACAAGGGACAAGGTCGGCCATCGAGGGGCAACTTATGATCGCGGTGACTGGTTCCATGAGAATGATATTGCACAATCCCGCACAACAACAACCTGCGACCCACCCCGACCCACAACGAAAGAGCTCCCATCGCGCCAAAGTTATGACCATACCCAACCCATGGTGGAGTTGTAACTGAATAAAGAGGGCTTGTTCGAGAGAGCAGCGTGGAGAGGCTGTGTTGTAATATCGGACACTCATCCTGCCATCTTCTGGGCGGCAATACTTGGGTTTGTCTCCCGGGCATGAGGCACGTGTGTGAATAGAAAATTGAACAGGCCCGGAAGGTAAAATAGGTTGTGGAAGCAATGTTATGCCGGACAAATTGTTTCTCTTGATTCTGCATGGGCTCGAGCCTCTATCCACATGGAGTGTGTAAATAAGACACCGATAAATTTACCCCCATGCCGCACCAACTGTGTGCAAGGAAGGACCTAGGGCCCGCGCTGGGTTGGGGTCCCAGCCGAGACACGAGCAGCGCTCCATTAATAACTTGGACTCGATTCTTCATTATTCTAGTGAGAGTAGCGAAGCTCCAATACCAGATACCGGTGCTGATACGGGTTCTCTCTTCCACTCCAGGGCCAAGTTGAGAACAGCGAAATTCATGTTGATGTGGTCCAGACAAGCTTTGATGGAACAGTTATCTAATCAATCTATCGGTAAAGGTATGTTATGATACCGGTAGTACGAGTACTTTGATGCGCAGTCCTGTTGCTAGGGAAACCCCCATGAGACTGCGCGGGTCTTGGCACTTGTTGACCTCCCCGTGTTGCACGTTGGCACGATAGCTGCCCCATCCTACGACTGCTCCTCCACAAACCCCCTTCAACCTCCCATTCAAGCCATTCCCCAAATTAATTCGCACGGTGGTCTCCAGCGACCCTGGGGCTCATCACCAAATCATGGAAGATCTACTTTCCACCTCGTTCGACTTGCTCTCCTCATATGATCCGATTCACATTCGAAAAGGCCTACGATGCCTTGAAGGATTTCTTGCGAAAATGTGTCTCCAGTCCCCCTCGACCCCATCAAAGAGCGGTGCTAGAGTAGTTAGTGCTGCCAATCCCTCTGCTGTTGGTGTGACCAGCAGGCCAAAGGACGCTGCTTTCAAAGAGTTCTTGCGACTACAGAGCGGTTTCGAATGGAATGGTAGGCCAACTCTGCAACTTGTGAGGCTGAGGATAACACTAACTACCTATTTATTCTTTCCCCGAATCTAGTAACCATCCGACTAATATCATGTCTAGAGCGCCTCCTAGGAAGAACGAATAGTATGATCTCCAAAAACTTATTTAGCGCCGGCGTGCTAACACACAAACCTAGATGGCCCGAATAATCTTCTGATCCTTTCTACATTGGACCTAATCCAGGGAATGCTTTTGCTTCATCCCCAATCCCGCAAACTTTTCGCTCGAGAAATCCACATGAATGTTAGTACTATTATCATGCTAGCCTCAGGTTATAAGGCTCTAATGGTTACTCGCAGGTGCTTTTAGACCTTCTAGATGCTGAAAGCAACGATGCTGTCCAATGCGCAACTCTATTAACACTGGTCTGCGGTCTTCTTGACAATCCCACCAACACAAGAGTAATATAATTCCCTCGTGTTTCTTCATACCAGCTTCCACTGGGTCTAATCTCCGAGAACCAGACTTTCGAATCACTGGATGGACTCGCTACTGTTACATCACTCTTCAAACGCCGCGACACTCCTCGAGAGGTTAAACTCAAGATTCTAGAATTTCTCTACTTCTACCTTATGCCCGAGGTTTCCTCACCTTCCGCGCCTACCCCACGAGCCCAAGGTGAGAGACCATCGTCGAGGAAGGAAGTGAGGGTAGAGAAAACTACAGAGGAGAAGCAGAAGATGTTAGGCGAGTTCATGAGTAATGTGGAAGGCCTGGTAGCGGACCTGAAAGAAAGTCAGCCTTTCGGGATGTAAATGACGCTTTCCTTCTATGATACCAATTTAATGATAGCTATAATAATACCGAAGACTGTACGATATCCTGAGAAACTAAGTAGATAATATACACGTTTGCAAGGGCTACACCATTAGTAGACCAGTGATAAAAAGAGATTCCCTCCTACCTGGGGTATTCACGAGCTTTAGCTATTATACGACCAAATATCTACTCCCCAATAAGGAGTCCGAAGCAACCGAATAGCCTCCTTTGCTGTTCATATGGTGATATTATTGTGGCACCAGCGCCAACTAATACCGTATCTATTCCTCCCGATCCCTATCAAAAAGAAGTTTACCAATAAGCGTCCGACACAACTGATTCTAAGCTAGTGAAGCCTTAACCTGCATAAACGCTTTTCAACCCGCGACTAAATTCCTCTACCAATCTCTTATTTTGTGTATTGTCGGGATACTAGTGGGCCTCCATAGTCTAACCATAACAGCAATGCTCAGGAGCGACCCTCGACCAAACGCCCAAACTGGCCCCACAAAAAAACGAACCCAAGAGTATCTGCTTTAGCTAGGGCGGAAGATTATTATAACTCGTAAGCCACTGTCGATAAAGCAACAAACCTATCACAGGTTTACTCCAGCGACAGAAAATCTCTTGCCAAGAATGAAATATGATAATGGTAACACCCTTATCGCATGACAGATTATCGATACATGTAGGGTTTTGTGTGGCTAGAGTCTGTGGCGGTGAATCGTGACTGCTAGCAATGCAAAAGACTGTGGCTGACGGTTCCCACGCACCCACACAACCAACTTTCCCCTTCCCAATTTTCGAACTTCAGATATCAACGCCAAACAACCGACAACCCACCACCAGCAACACCACCGGAACCTTTCACCAGGAAACGCCGAGATGTCTCATGTAAGTTATTGCCCCCCTCCATTTGCGATTGAATTTCTGGATCTCGAATCGCTGCTAACTATTTCTTAGAGAAAATTTGTACGTCAATCCGGAACTCTGGATATTAAGATAGTTGAATAAATGGGAGGAAAATGTATTGACAGTGACTTAGGAAGCACCCAGACACGGTTCCCTCGCCTTCCTTCCCAGGAAGCGAGCTTCCAGACACAGAGGAAAGGTTAAGGCGAGTATATGAGTTGGATTTCTTTCTTTGGAAGCCGGACAACGTTTTGACGGAATTTCTCGAATATAGTCCTTCCCCAAAGATGACCCCAAGAAACCCGTTCACCTTACCGCCGCTCTCGGGTACAAGGCCGGCATGACCACTATAGTTCGTGACTTGGAGAGGCCAGGGGCGAAGATGCATAAAAAGGAGATTGTCGAAGCTGTCACTGTTATTGAGACACCACCGGTATGCTCTTTCCGCAGCACATTATTATTATTATTATTGGGAGGTGGCGGCGACCAATTCTTACATGAATGGTCATAGATGGTCGTCGTTGGCGTTGTCGGATACGTTGAGACTCCCCGCGGTCTTCGATCCCTTACTACTGTTTGGGCCGAGCATCTCAGTGACGATCTCAAGCGGCGCTTCTACAAGAACTGGTACAAATCCAAGAAGAAGGCTTTCACCAAGTATGCCAAGAGACACGCCGATGGGGGGAAGTCCATTTCCCATGAGTTGGAGCGCATCAAGAAGTACTGCAATGTTGTTCGCGTTCTTGCTCACTCCCAGATCCGCAAAACCCCTCTCAAGCAGAAGAAGACCCACTTGATGGAAATTCAAGTCAATGGTGGCTCGATTAGCGACAAGGTCGACTTTGCCTTTGGTAACTTCGAGAAGGAGGTTACCATCCGCTCAATCTTTGAGAAGGACGAGATGATCGATGTTATTGCTGTCACCAAGGGTCACGGTTTCAACGGCGTCACCTCCAGGTGGGGAACCAAGAAGCTACCAAGGAAGACCCACAAGGGTTTGAGAAAAGTTGCTTGTATTGGTGCCTGGCATCCGTCGCACGTGCAATGGGTGCGCATTCCCACAATATTTAGACCAATGGCAAGTATAAGCTAACCATAATCAACAGACCGTTGCCCGTGCCGGTCAAGACGGTTACCACCACCGCACATCTGTCAACCACAAGATATACCGCATTGGCTCCGGCACTGACGATGGTAATGCATCGACTGAGATCGACATTACCAAGAAGACTATCGTATGTCACAATCACACGCTCCTCGAGATCCCCGATGAATACAAACTAATTTAATTGCTTCAGACCCCTCTCGGTGGATTCCCTCGTTACGGTGAAATTAAAAACGATTTCGTTATGGTGAAGGGCTCTGTCCCTGGTGTAAAGAAGCGGGTAATGACCCTGAGGAAGTCGATGTTCATCCACACTTCAAGAAGGTCACTCGAGAAGGTAGAGCTTAAGTGGATCGATACGTCATCCAAATTCGGCCATGGCCAATACCAGACCAAGGAGGAGAAGCGTCAATTTATGGGTACTCTAAAGAAGGATATTGCTGCAGCTTAGCGGTTCCTTTCTCTCTTTCCTTTTCTGTTCTCTTGTGTTTCATAGTTTGGGGGGGTCCAAAAAAACAAACAAATACTCTCAACCAATACCTGTTTTGCCCTAGGAAGGCTGTGTCTATATTTGATGAACGAAGGAACAAAAAGTAATCCTAAGCATGCTCCACTCGATCCCCAATCTTTCTCTGGAAATGGTGTGACCCGCCATGAATTTAACGAAATATTAGCCACTCTCTTCCCACCATACCCAAGTAACCCACCCAATGCTCATATAGAAAGCGCTCCTATGACTGCCGGTAGATCCGACACAGGAGTATCCTTCTACCATTTTACAAAGTAATGACATATACAGACCATATCCCAACAAATCGAACTCCAGTCTAACGAGAAGGGAAAAACATGAAAACGAAAACGAAAACAATGCACTTTCTAGATTCCTTGAGTATCTTGAATATCTTCAAATGCAACAGTAGCTGGTAGCCTAAAAGAAACACAATAATACGTCTTGTTAGGCGCCACAAGCCTAACATTCTCCAAATTTTCCAAATCGCCCTCCCCCATCTTGTGCCCCAGATATCTACTAATATCTGCGCAAATTTCCCCCGCAGCATTCTCCGTCACCGGCGCCTTGTGAAATGTGTAGACGTGAATCATCGGTAACATCTCCCGACCAGTGACTACACCCTCGAACCCACGATACGCACCGCGGAAAGCACCCAGGAACGCCGTGGCGGAGGCGGGAAGGTTCATTACGAAGTGGGAAAACACAGGCGGTACTGGGATCACTGTTGGAGGGGGAGGAGGCTTCTGACCGCGCTTTCCAGGCGTTGGAATGGAGACTTTGTTGGTTAAAGGGTTTTGGGAGCGGGAGAGGAGGGCGCGGATCGACCCGCGGATGAAGTTTGCGCCGTCGAGGTTGTGGGGAGTTAGGAATTGGGATACCTTTTTCGCAGTGTCAATTCCGCGATCCAGATGATGGGGGGAGTGTTGGTTAGTTGGTGAGGATTACCTTGTTAATTTTGATATTGTCCACCAGACTCTTGTAACTCTCCGGGTTCAAGTCGTTCGCATATACGAAGACCCGCTGCTTCGCCCCCGGGATAGCAAACGGCCCCACGCCGGCCATCACGTCCGCCACAGCCTCTCCAGGCTTGAATTGCTTGAATATCCTCTCATGTTCGTTTCCCAGCCTACTATTCCAGTAAACTTTGGCAAAGTCAAACCTGAATACGCAGCCGGATTCCCGGACCTCCACGTTCATATCATCCTTGCCAGCGAGGAGCTCCATGGGGAAAGTTCTATACACCGAGCCCGTACCCACGTCCTCTATCTTGTTCACCACAGTGGATATATTCGGGTTTTTATCCAGGAGGACGGCGGCTATCAGGTGTTTGTAGGGAAGATATTGCTCCCGGAGGTTTAGGTGTGCAAGGTGTCCGGCTTGCGTGAAGGCGCAGGGTATCTCGTCGAGGCCCTCAGGGAGAATCGAGTTCATTATTTCTTCTGTCGAGGTGTTATCGGGTTGGCAAAATCCAAAAATCAATGAGCCTCCCCTTACAGGGTACTACCTACCGTAATTCCAGTTCTCATATTTCATGTGCAGATTATACGGCTCCAGCCCAATAATCTTCTCCTCCACAAACTCCCTCGTCTTTGGCTGGACAGTGGATAAATCTGGACCAAATCGGTCAGAGCTTCGCCCCTCGGCACTCGTGAAGGAGACAGCCCGTCCACCCACCGTCGTGTTTAACCTCAGGCTTCAAGAGCAACAACTTCCTCTCGGTCCCCGCATCATCCTTCTGCGTAATAACACCCCGGAGCCGCGGGACCCGTAGCAAATCCTTCGCACATTCCTTCATAACCCTAGGTATGTTCCTCCCGTCCAGAACATGTGCTGCCGTTAGTGGGATGGTCTTTTGAAAGAACGACGGATCGAGCTTTCGCATGGCACGATTTATCGGTGGGAGAAAGAGACGGGACATTTCGTCCCTCGAGGAGTTCTGCATTGTGTTAGACGAGGCGGTAAGCATGTGGGGGGATGGCTAAGAGTACGTACAGACAATAGGCGATATTGTTAAGTTCTCTCTTCACTATTTTTTTTTTCACCCACTTCCTCTGTTGTTTGGTGGGAGAAAGGAGGGGCAGGGTAAGTTGGGCTAGTATCATAGTCTTATCGATAAGAGTCACCAGCTGAGTGTGGATTCGAGTCAGAGTTCGTGAGGCTAACTGCGAAAGCATATATGATGTGATTCTAGGGATTAGCCACGCGCAGAGATAGCACGGGCTTTAAGGTATTTTACCCTCTAAATCTTTCCGCTTGGTACCGCATTATTTGGCGACAACCGGCAGGCACTAGTTCGTTGAATTAGAGTGTGGTAAGATTACGCCATAGTTGTTTATCTAAGACAATATCAAGAAATTTGTTTACTAATCTCTATCTATAAGTTCAGTCTCATCTAGATCCTCATTTTCAGGAAGGAGATGTTCTAAATCTTCATTAAAGAGACGATCTTCATCCCCTGGGCCCCCCTTTTCTCCCCAGTCTTCGACCTCGGTCCTGCAAGCTCCATCCTCTAGCCTCCAATTACCAACTTCAAGGTGTTCGGATGGAATACCCTTGATTGAGAGTTCAGAATCACAAGAGCCATCAATAGGTAGTGATAGGCCAACTTTGCGAAATGAAGTAACAATAATGTCTCTTCTGGTCGTGCAAAATGTATGCCATGCTTCTGCTAAACACCTTTGAATCAAAACCCTTCGCTCCTCCATTGCACTTGCTTTCCCACTTTCATGCAAATCTTCCCCCGTTCTTTGCTCATACAGATCCATAGCATCCTCGACCATTGTACGTAATATATCCTTGAGTGGCTTGTTGATCGCAACATCGAGGGGTTGCATGAGACCTGTACAACCCGCTGGAATCATTGCTGGAATGATATCGTGTGAGCGTAGGGTATCTAAAACAGCATTGGTTTTATGGAATTTCGCGACATCGAGAGCTAGGAGGCGAGGACAATTTGGTGGAAGGCAGGGTACCAGTAAATCTGTAATCCAATTGACAAGTACCGTTTCATTTGCATAAGCATTTGGATTAAACTGTACAGCAACACGGGGATCATATCGTGCAAACTCTGCCGACCACCGTTGAATGTCATGCCGTCGGGTAAGTACCTCAGCTCCTTTAAACAATAGCAATGGCTTAACTCACATTGCTCCATCAGCACATACACATAGGATAATGGTAGCCTGCCGTTTATCCCAACCGCTCTTAGTGCTCCGAACTTGCACTGTCTGACTACCCATATCTGCATAGGTTTGGCCTTCTAAAAATTCGAAGGGCACCAGAGTCTCATCCATATTGCAGATTCTGCTTAGGAGATACCGGCCGACAACCAAGGGTTCATCATGAATTCGTAGCTGCGCATTACGTCTCACGAATCGGACAAAGTTAAGGCAGGCATTGAGATAGTCCGCTGGTAGTTTCTGGGATTTGTTTGTTGGAAATCGTAAGGTGATACTGTGTCGAGACAGGAACG